CCCCCCAAAACTCTGCTCCCACCCCAAGCCCCACCCTCCACGATGCTCCGCCCCCCACAGATGCCCCACCCCAGGCAGTGTAAGCCCCTCCCCAATGCATAAGCCCCACCCCCAGCAGTGTAAGCCCCGCCCCCTCACCATTTTTGTGTTTCAGGGACTTGGACCTGCGGGGCGAGTTGGGGTTCTGCAACAAGAGGAGGGTGGGGGGGGGTGTGGCATGGCCCCGGTGGAGTCCCTCCACACCCCACAGCACCCCCTGCCCCCTCACCTTATCCGATTTCCTCTTCTTTGCTACAGGGAGAGACAGAGAAGGGACAGATTTGACCTTTTCTGGTGGATTTGCAAGCCCAGGGCCTCCTCTTCCCCATGGATGAAACCCTCCCACACACCCACCCTGGACTTGGGGTCAAGGGCCACAGGGCAGGCAGGACACACCCCCCACCCCTGAGGGGACCAGGGACCCCCCACCTTTCTTCTCAGAGCCGTAGGACCAGTCGTTGTCGTTGATGTCATCATTGTCCTCCTGGTCACTCTCCGACTTGTTCAGGTTGTTGCTGCTTGCGATCCTGTGTGGGGAGGGGAGGGGGGTCATGGCCAGATCTGTCCCACGTCCTCCATGGAACCCCAGGATCTGTCCTGTACCCTCCCACCTCCCCAGCACCCCAGGATTCATTGTGCACCCTCATACGCTCTCCAGGATCCATCCCCTGCCTCCCCCAGCACCCCGGGATCTGTCCTGCACCTCATATCCTCCCCAGCACCCATCCTGCATCCTCCCCAGGACCCATCTTGCACCTCCCATCCTCTCTGGCACCCACATCCTCCCCAGCACCCCAGGATCTATCCCACATTCTCCCTAGGACCCGTCCTGCACCCTTCCATCCTCGGGCACACCAGGATTCACCCTGTACCCTCCCGTCCTCCCCAGCACCTCAGGATCTATCCTACATCCTCATTGGCACCCCAGGATCTGTCCTGTGCCCTCCCATCCACCCTGGCCCCCAGGACCCACCCTGCACCGTCCCTGGCTCCCCAGGATCCATCCCACACTTCCCATCCTCCCCAGCATCCCAGGATCCAGAGAGGGACCCCCACCAAGGGCTGGGGGGGACAGAGGACCCAGGATTTCCAGTTTGTTTTCCCAGGATGGAGCGAAGCCATGGGTGAGAACAAGAGCAGCTGGAGGTGGGACTCCAGTGTTGTTGGGCAAGAACAGACACCCCCACAATGAAAAGCAAGGAGAGGGGAGACCTTGATGCTGAATTCCCATCTCCAGGCTCATCAGTGCCCAAATCTACTGCACCCCCACAGAAAAGAAACCTACCCCCAACACCCCTTGTGCCTCAGTTTCCCCACAGAGAACACCTCCAGCCCCCCCACCACCCTCATTCCCCCTCATGCCTCAGTTTCCCTATGGATAAGACACCTGGTCCCACCCCCCCACCCCCCTCATGCCTGTTTCCCCACAGAGAACATCTCCAGCCTCCCCACCACACTCAGCCCCCCTCATCCTTCAGTGTCCTCATGGAAAAGAGATTCAGCCACCCACCCTCAGCCCCCCTCATGCCTCAGTTTCTCCACTGAGAAGACACAGCCCACCTCGTGCCTCAGTTTCCCCAGCCAGAAGACACCCAGCCCCCCACCCTCAGCCCCCCTCATCCCTCAGTGTCCCCATGGAGAAGAAACCCAGCCCCCCACCCTCAGCACCCCTCGTGCCTCTGTTTCCCCTCTGAGAACACCCCCAGCACGCCCCCCCCCACGCCTGAGTTTCCCTATGGATAAGACACCCGGCCCCACACCCCCAAGCCCCTCGAGGCTCCGTTTTCCCTCTGAGCACACCCCCAGCC